CCTTTTTTATCTTTTTGTGCTTCCCTGAACTCAAATATTGCATAATCTCCTCCTTGGTAGCCTCAGGAATATTTTTACACGGGACAACATCCCCCTTAATATCGACAAGGTGTTTTTAAACCGGTAAATGCCCCCATTAGTATCCTTTCCACAATAATTACATTTAATACGATTTTTGTCATTTGGATTCGGGTTATAAAGTGCTAGGCGGCACTTAGGCGGCCGTAGGGATCCAGGCCGCCTAGCACCTAGGCGGGCGCCCAAAACCTAAGCGGCCCAGCTGGGAAAAAGAAGATAGAAATCGAGAAGAGAATTTTGATAATCCATAAGGCAATAATCCATATTCTCATACAATGCTAAAACAGTAAAATCATATAAGCATACACTGATAGTCAGATACACTATAGACTGTACACACAAAAGTTGGATAGTAGAAACTACAAAGTAGAAACTAAATATATATATATATATATATATACAGAAATTTAGAAAATATACAGTCTAGGACACAATAGTCAATACTTAACAGTCAACACTTAACAGTCAACACCAAGAGTCAAGCTCTTCAACTCTTCATTCTTTAGTCATCCTCATCATCATCAGAAGGAATAGGGTTAGCCTCATCATATGCATCAGATTCGAGGCCATCATCATCAAAGTCATCTTCCTCTTCAATATAACGCTCGTCCTCCTTTGTTTCTTCTGAATCTGCATCTTCTTACTCCTCTTCTTCTACCTCCCTCTTACTAGTATGTGCAGATGAGGCCCTAGAAGTCTTGGCTTCTCTAACCTTTTTTATCTTTTTGTGCTTCCCTGAACTCAAATATTGCATAATCTCCTCCTTGGTAGCCTCAGGAATATTTTTACACGGGGAAACATCCCCCTTAATATCGACAAGGTGTTTTTAAACCGGTAAATGCCCCCATTAGTATCCTTTCCACAATAATTACATTTAATACGATTTTTGTCATTTGGATTCGGGTTATAAAGTGCTAGGCGGCACCTAGGCGGCCGTAGGGGTCCAGGCCGCCTAGCGCCTAGCCGAGTGCCCAAAACCTAGGCGGCCCAGTTGGGAAAAAGAAGATAGAAATCGAGAAGAGAATTTTAATAATCCATAAGATAATAATCCATATTCTCATACAATGCTAAAACAGTAAAATCATATAAGCATACACTGATAGTTAGATACACTATAGACTGTACACACAAAAGTTGGATAGTAGAAACTACAAAGTAGAAACTAAATATATAAATATATATATATATATATATATATATACAGAAATTCAGAAAATATACAGTCTAGGACACAATACTCAATACTTAACAGTCAACAGTTAACAGTCAACACCAAGAGTCAAGCTCTTCAACTCTTCATTCTTTAGTCATCCTCATCATCATCAAAAGGAATAGGGTTAGCCTCATCATATGCATCAGATTCGAGGCCATCATCATCAAAGTCATCTTCCTCTTCAATATGACGTTCGTCCTCCTTTGTTTCTTCTGAATCTGCATCTTCTTACTCCTCTTCTTCTACCTCCCTCTTACTAGTATGTGCAGATGAGGCTCTAGGAGTCTTGGCTTCTCTAACGTTTTTTATCTTTTTGTGCTTCCTTGAACTCAAATATTGCATAACCTCCTCCTTGGTAGCCTCAGGAATATTTTTACACGGGGCAACATCCCCCTTAATATCGACAAGGTGTTTTTAAACCGGTAAATGCCCCCATTAGTATCCTTTCCACAATAATAACATTTAATACAATTTTGTCATTTGGATTCGGGTTATAACCGTAATTCCAACCCGAATCACCACTTCTAAAAGAACCTAGAGAAGATATTTCCATAGAACAAGGCTCATTTTCATCCTTTCTGATTCTTTTAAATTCAGAAATTGTCTAATCTCATGCCAAATAGCTTCAAGAACCTTTTTACAAGAAGCAACATTCCTTTTAATAAAGGCAAGATGTTTCTTGAATTGATTAATACCCCTATTGGTATATTTTTCACAAAAATTACACCTTGTACAATTTTTATCTTTTAGTTTTGAGTTATAACCATACTTCCAACCCGGATCACTTCTTCCAGAAGAACCAGAAATAGATCTATTTAAATGACAAGGATTTTGTTCATGCTTTTGTTTCACATAACTCATATATTCCTTAATCTCCTCTCTGATAGCTTCAAAAATATTTTTACAAAGGGCAACATCCCCCTTAATACTGAAAAGATGTTTCTTAAACCGGTTTATGCCCCTTTAGTATCTTTTTCACAAAAATTACATCTAATACAATTTGTCATTTGGATTCGGGTTATATCCATATTTCCAACCCGGATCTCCACTTTGACTAGATCTTGAAGAAGACATCTCAAAATAAAACAAGCAATCTAAAAAATAAAGTTTTGCACTTATTTTGATTGCTCGAACTCCAAACGCCCACCTCTGAGATGTTTTCTGGTGCTAAAATAATAAAAAAACACCCTCTAATAGGATTAAAAAACTAAAAAACTAAAACTAATCTACCTGGGTGATGCTTGGATCCATTTTCCGCATCTTTGAGAAACACTGCGATCCAATGAAAATCACAAAATTTAGTTTCTTTGAAGTTTCTCTCTCTAAAATGGGTTCTTGTGGGTTTAGGTTTCAAATGAACCTAAAACACATCCTTAAACACCTTTATGTTTCAAAAAAACTCGATAGAACAAAAAAAAAAAACGCTTATTTCCGCCCTAGGTGGGGCATAGGCCCTAGGCGGCCTAGGAGTCCTCTTAGGCGGGTTCTGTACCGCCTAGGGACTGCCGCCTAGTTTGGCCGCCCAGGCTCACCCAAGCCTTTTGAACCGCCTAGGCTCACCCAGGCTTTTTGGACCACCTAGGCGCTGAGCGGTCCGCTTTTTTGAACAATGGTACAAACCATGCCAGATTACTTAATACAACCACATTGTGACCTCATTCCCATGTGACATCAATCCCAGACTTTGGAAAATCAGTCAAAAATATAATAATATTTGTCTAGTGGATAGGAATTCATGAATTGTGCTGTAAATACAAACCAGTTATTGGTGCACTTCTGAAATTCAAAAATACTGGATGCAAAAAAGTTCTTCATTTCAGATGGTCAAATACGA